TTAAATAATGTTTCAAACTTGCCGACATTACATAAAATATAAAAAATATTTAATAGTAATACCAAGTAACAAATTATTATTCTAACCTAACCAAAACAGTAATATATATTTAGAAAAAACAAACAAACAAACAAACACACACACAAACACACACACAGGCCATTTCAACTAAATTCTTTGACATCTTAAAGTTTTATAGATTTTAAGGGGCATCTACTGAAAATACCCTCTTACAGGATTTGTTTATACATTAAAAAAACAAAAAAACAAACTCCATTTAATTTTTTTTAACCAACATCCTACCCAGTGAACTGAGACTGATCAGGCTGTGCATACAAACTCAGCACCGGTCGTAGTTCTTATTTGTCTGAGCAGATGTGTCCAGAAAACAGAGGTCCATGAGCCAGGCCTCCGTCGGTCCTGCCCCCCCTCCTCCCGCCTCCAACAGCTGATCCGGAGCCAGAGGGGAGTCGTGTTGCAGCGGGGCGGGACTCGGCTCTCTCACATCCGCCAAGTTGTTGCAAAACTTCCGACCTGCTGCAGCCTCGGGTCAGCGGATAAAGTCGACTAAAACACGGGGGAAAGACGTCTGTTGGTGAAGTTGCGGCGGATCTTAGGATGATGGCAGGTAAAGTGAGAGAAAACAAAGACGCTTTGAGTCTCCACGCTTTAAAGCCTTTTTTTGGGTTTAGAAGAGACGCAGATCCGTTAGATCCGAGCTGTTTGGACTGAGTGATGAAATCCAGATGTTGTCCGCTTCTTAATAACTGCAGCTGAGTTCCGCGTAACGCTTTTACAACCCATGTTTGTCTCTTAACCATCGCTCTGATTCTGTTGATGGCATAACTGACAGTTTGAAGACTTGACTTTTGCTGTTTTTCTCCACAGACTCAACACATTACCATAGATGTATATTAGGTGCATTGCTAGACTCATTAATCTGGGAGTAAATGCACTCTAGTACAAATTAAAACCCTTTATTTTAAATGATATGTCTATAAGTGAAGGTGTCACAATCTGAATATAGACAGAAGTGTACTTGCAGGTAATAGAACATGTATAACATTATTAAACTATGATTCTGAGAAGTTTAAGCATTACTAAAGCTCTAGTTGGTTAATGCTAGTCTAATTTTAACAGCCTTATGGACTCGTATAGTAAACAACAGACGTTTGTGCAACATCATGTGCAACACTTTTAAAACAGCATTTGTGCTTTGATGGAGTTGAACAGCAAGGTGTTTAAAAAGGAACAATTTAGATTTAAAAACAATATAAGCCCCACAACAGGAAGTGAAAGTCGGTACACCTTGCAATACTCAGATTCAGATCTGTTGGAGTCAGGCAACATACTTGGCAGGGTCGCCTTTCTCTCTGATTTAGAAACCCTTGCGTGATATCAGTCGTGTGTTTCAGATTTTTAACATGCTGGAATATCCCCCCTCTGCACTGCTTCTGCAGCTTCTTGTCAGCCAGCATTCTGATATATCCACAGACATTCATGGTTCTGTCTATAAATGTCACCTCCCTACCACCTTTTGCACTCATGCAGCCTGATGTCACAACACTCCCACCTCTGTGCTTCACTGCCAGGACTATGAATTCATTGTAGTAGTGCTGGCCAGGTTCTGCACTTCATCTGAGCTGAACCAACTTCTCTGGGTCTCTCTTGAGGCTTCCAATCATGTTCTTCTGCAAAATTTCACGTTATAGCAAACAGGAATTTTTTTTCTTGGACGCCAACATGCAAATTGGTGTTAGGCAATGTCCTTTACACTGTCTAAGCTGTCATAGAAATTCTGATTTCAGTTGATAACAACTGTGCTGCGGTTGAAGCACTTACCTGTCTGTTTTTCAGACTGATTGATAGGGCGCTGTCAGTGGTGTCATTTTAGGAGGACGCCCACTGCAGCTCTGATTAGTGGCACTAAAACTTGTACTATACCCCCCCAATTACTTATGCAACTGTGTTTCCATGATTTGTAGATGGTCACAGATCTTCTGTGGTCCTTTTCCATCTGTGTGAAGACTCAAAATCAGATTTTCGAACTAGTCTGGGAATTGTTTTTCAGCCATGATGCAGACATGCACATAGACACAGCTCATAGGTCCAAAACTGAGAAGGTTTTAGTATTCACGGGTCATATTATCATCATATTCACACAATTAGGCTCATCAGAAATCACGGATGCATTCACATTTGTTGCTCCTCTCGTAGATTAATCGTAACAACTGACTGACTCATTGGGAGTTCAAGATACTTATATCCTCAAGGAGCCATTAACACCTGAGTTTTGGTTTCAATTCAGAAGTATCTGGAACTCCCTACCAGTCAGTCAGAACTGATGAAGCCTCTTGGATGAGAGGTGAAACGTCTTCAAGGAACTCAAGCAAGTCCAGTTGCTACGATTAGTCTACCAGAATAACCATGACCTGGATGACTGAGAATCGTCACAGACATTTGTTGCTCTGATTTTGTACTTTGGGGCCTATATTTTTAATAGTCCTTCTAAAGGTTATGTTTTTAATTGTTTGTACTGTTCAACTGTCTTAATCATTAAAATTAGAACCAAACTGCAAAAGGAGCATATTTTGTTTGTTGATCATGTGATTTAAATATGTGGGTTTTTTTTAAAGGTTTTTTTGTTGCACAGTTTGGCTAAAATCCTTCAAATTTCAAGCATGTTTTTCTGAACTTCACAGTTTTTGTGCTTACTGCTATCATAAGCTTAAATAGACATGCAGTTGAGTAAAAGTATGTCACAGACTTCTTTCAGACTCCCTCCTGCTCTGATGAGCCCCCTACTACGATGCACCCACACTTAAAACTCACTTACTCCTCACATTCACCTACTGGACTACATTACAGATGCTATTCAAACTGGCTTGCTTGCTTTAACTGCATAACCTGCACTTTATTCTATGCTACAATACCAATCTTAACCAATTGCTGGTCTATGCTCCTTTACTTCTTGTTTGTTTTGATATTAAGTTACGTAAAGTATCCTTAAGTGCCACATGCATTAGTAACCCTAACTGGAAATACTCAAGTACCTGAACATTGTACATAATTCTAAACATAGTTTCCAACACTGGTTTCAGAGGAAGCAGCGGTCGTTGAGGAAGACGTCAGTCCAGCTCAGAGTCCTCTGGTTGCAGTCACCTTCCAGAGAAATGTCCGCAGGAAAGAGAAGTACCTGGAAGCTGAGCCCAGAGCTCTGGGGGTATGCTGCATCGGTGTGTTTCAAACTCTGCATACTGTTTTATTTTGCAACCTTAACTCAAATGATCGCTTTTGTGTGTTTCAGATCACTCAGGTTGGCCTGAGTGTGTATATGATCGTCTGTGTCGGCGTGTTTCAGGCTAAAGGCCTGAGTAGTCTGGACACTGACATACCTGTCTTCATTTCATCTCTGTTGGTAAGCATGCAGAGGACAGCAAATATATACAGTGAGACAATAAACCATTGTCAACTATTCATACAATTTACATTATTTATATTAGCCATCAAATTCATACTAGAGAGCACTAATTTGTTACTTTTTTCAGTGAAGCAGTCCCTTCCTGGTGTTCCTTAACTGTTTGTCTTTAACAATGTTCTGAGGTCAGAATGCCAAAAATGATGAAAACAAAGCATGTTTTTCTCAATTTTTTAATCTTAAAAGTGATGTTAGTGAGCCCAAGGATGTAGCTCAGTTTTAGAATGGCTGAATTCTAGAGAGCAACGTTAGAATTTCCTGTTTGACTTGATGGTGACAGCATCGTCTCACTGGTATAAAAAAGTGGTGTGTCTGTTCTGCAGATACACCTTTAGTGTTGGTGCCATTTATAAATATTATTTAAAAGCAGAACCAGAACATGAGCATGATAAAGCTGTTTGAGATTCAAGTCAAAATTCATCCAATTAGCATCTCAAGAGAAAGTAGAACTGATGAGGGAATCTTAGACAGTCATCTCAACTGCCTCAACCCCACCCTATAAACACATGCATGCACTTTTCTATGACCAAATTCCAAATTGAGAAGCAAGAAGATCTCACAAATGTACACTCTCCGGTAAAATTTCAGCATTCAGAAAAAAAAATGTGTATATGGCATAATGTGCCATGTATTTGCTGAGGTATGTAATCGCGTGTAATTCTAATTCAGGCCACTTTTTTAAAAATCCTTTTGTCATTTTCTGCTTCAACATTTTTTTAAAAAATGCAGCAGTACTTTCTATTTTTTCTGTAAGCTGATGAAAATTAAGACTTGAGTTGGATGTATGTGTTATTCTGATTGTGTGATCTTGTTTACTTTACAGGTGGTAATAGCTGGGAATGTGGCTGTAGCGGCACAGAACCTCCACATACCAACAGTGAGTGGCCTGCTGGACAACAGACACACAACACCAACTGTTTACAGAAACAATAGCAGCATATAACATCAAAAAACTATACATACACTCCACTGGATTCAGAGCAGCAACCACAAACTGACATTTAGGACTACACTGTCCCAACGGACTCTTCCTGCCAAAAAAAGAACTTGTCTCAGTGTTTGCCACTTCCTCTAACATGAGTCACTCTGTAAGGCTGAATGGAGCTGGTTGTTACACAAGTCCACCGACTCTCTCACTAGGCTTATCCATATGTATCCGACTTTGCTGTATTGCTCCTTTTAGCTGTCTAGTAGTCTGTACACGAGGTTACAGAAATGCACTGATTTATTAAAATGTTGTCAGAAACATAAACAAGTAAAGAGGTGGAATGTGAATAGGCCATGCAAAAGTCTCTGGATCATGGATTGTCCCGTGTCAGCACCCTGTCACGCAAAGCCAGGCTCTTAATTATGCATGCATGCATTTAAAACTATTTAAACAGGGAAGTTTGGTACAAACTCACCCCCTGAACAGTTTTTGTTAGAAAACTTCTACAAGAGATCAGTTCAGATGAATAACATCAATAGTTTATTATAACAGAATGCACATTCTAGGCTCAATCTCACCAGCAACAAAGGCTAGTGAAGAAAAGAGCAGCTTCTCTCAGTATACTGCTTCTTTTAGAGATACAAGTGCAGAATATCGTGTGGCTAGAATAGTTACAGAGTTGATAAAACAAACCAGTTCAGATCAGTTTGGGTGAGAAAACACATTCAACTGCAACAGACAAGGTCACAAGGAAGAGATCATTGTCCACACAACATTTAACAAGTAGCTAGTCATTAATATTCCCTGTAAGTGACAACTATCTCCAGCTATAGCAACCAAAACGGTTTCTTGTTCCAGGCTGTTAGACATGTTTATTTCTGCTGTAAAGTTGGACAATTTAAAATGAGGACTGACTGGCTGTTGGAGCTAGCCTCTAGTGGCCATTGGACGAATGGCAGTTTCTGACACTTTTCCGCTGCTTTCATTCTTCAGCCAGAGGTTGGAGCTTAGACAATATAAATACAGTGTCTGAGTGCTGTTTAACAGGGGCACATGTGCTCAGGATGTGCATTTAGCACCAGTCAAAATGCAGACAAAGACAAAAACGTAACTTTCCAGAACCAGTTGACGAAAGAACAGAGAGCAGAAGTGAAACTAACAGGGGATACTGACTCTCATTTCAGGATCTAAATAGGAAGTTCATTTTCTCTTCGTTTGTCCACAGTCTGTGAATGTCTTCAAAGCACTCTGTGTCATTTTAAAGAGAGCTTCTTTTTTGTTCTCAGCTGAGGGCCTGTTTGGGGATGCAGATTGTGTCATGTGCCGCCTCCATCGTCAACATCGTCTGCAGTGTAATTAAAATGGAAGGCTACTCTTATTGCTGGCGTTATTACTTTGACAGCACGCATAACTTTGGTGAAATCTGCCATAAAATTGAGGTAAGCAATGACGGTGTAATCTTTGTAAGAACAATATTCATGTTTTGCATTGAATGGAAGGGTACCATTAGAAAGCAGGTGAAGTGAGTAGCTGATGTGTGACACTAAGGGTAGCTAGAAAACAATAATTCAGTCAAAACTTGTAAAACTTGTCCCACTTACAGAATGTCCAGTCCCACTTTTTTGCCGGTGGTGTGCTCATCCAAGTTACTCTATTGGCCATCTCTGTCACACTGGCAGCCTACTGCTGCAAGGTAGTCAACTGTTGTGGGCCAGCTCCCAAAATGGTGAGTAGATTCTGATGTTTGCTTTAACAATTTCATTATGAAGGTCCTCTGGGCGACAGGTTTCCCCAGTAATGCTTGCATATATACACCAATTAGCTGCAACGGTAAACCACCAACAGGTGAAGTGAATAACGTTGATTATCTTGTTACAATGGAACCGGTTAGTGGCCGGGCCATATTATGCAGCAAGTAAACAGTGAGTTCTTGAAACTGGAAGCAGGATCTAAGAGATTTTGACAAGGTCGGAACTGTGATGACTAGATAACTGGGTTAGAGGACCACCAAGACTGTTTTTGGGTGTTCCCCTTATGCAGAGGTTAGTACCTGAGAAAACTGGTCCAAAGGAGGACAACCGGTGAACCGGCAACAGGGTCATAGGTGACCAACACTCACTGATGCGCTTATTTACCAAGATCTCAAGCCAATTAAGCATCTGTGGGATGTGCTAGAAAAATAAATCCAATCCATGAAGGTCCCTCCTCACAACTACCAGGTCCTGATAGCACAGGTCTGTGGAGACTGACATAGGAATGTGGAGGTGGTTTTGATCTTGTGGCTGATCAGTATATACCAAACACAAGAGTGAGAAAGATTACTTAAGTACTGTCAAACCTTCAAAACAGGGCCTGACCACCAGTGTTGGGAATTATGAACATAATGCTATTATAGTCCTCAAAAGTAAAAAAAAAATCACAAAGATTATACATTGACGTAACCATTTCATTGTAACAGTCAACGTATGTGTGGCTTATGTTGTTTTCCTCCTTGCTTTCTGTTCTTTTCAGCCAGTGATCACTGTTCACACCCCCCCTGTTCAACAGTGAGGAGGCCAGATGAGTACAGAAGACACAAACAAATGCTACAAAGGTTGCTGCACTAATCAATGTTTTTATATTAATAATGGATCAAATTACTATGTATAATATCAAAGGGGTGATGATCCGACAGAGAATTAATATCAAGTTTGCAGTTACTCCCATCTGTTAAGCTTTTTAGCCTATTTCAGCTCCTTGTTTTGGTTTGCAAGTCAGCCATTTTTACTATTGTCAACCTTATTCAAACCTGACAAAGCCACTGTGCACTATCTGCTTGGTACCACACCGCAGGCAGACAAGGCTAGCAACTAGCGTGGTGGAGCATGTCGTAGCTAAGGAGCCAGATAGATTTTCAGATGTTGGTGGAGGCCAAAACATGACGCCAAAATGTCTGTTAATGCTGTGTCTGCAACTTGTTCTGCTGCCCCCCTAGTGGCCAAAAATGAAATCAAACAATGCAAGTGTGAAAAAGCTTTACAGGAGGTGATCTAAAGTTGTTGGACTGGTCATGGTGCATGTCATGATCACGCATGGAACATGTATTCATAATTTAAAATGTCATGCGAAACCTATCAACAGCAAGGCCTGTGTTCCAAATGTTTCCGTGATCCCTGGTAACATTTGCAATTTCTCTGTGGATCCCATCATGGAGCAGAGAAGAAAACATCACTTTCAATATCAGTCAGCAGCTGAGATGATCTAACTTTCATGCTGAGGTGGGTCTGCAGCTACCACCGGAGAAGAAACAGCAGTTTTCACGAGCCGCAGTCTCCTAAACTGGACAAGGCGGATCAGGTCAGAAGCGACAGGAGTATGCTTGCTGTTGTCTTTAACATTCACATGTGTACTGCGATTTTTTTTGCCACCATGAAACCGAAGTTAAAGGTTCGTTGTTTTGTCAAAATTCAGAAGATTGAGTACACGTTGCAGATTGTGTTATATCTTTGCAACATGGGACTTACAGGAAGTGTTGTAAGCTTTGCAGAAGCGCTACACAATCACTGCACAAGATGACTGCTTATACAGGAATGGCGGCCAAAAAAGAATTTGTAATTTTTAGAGTTGCTGTCTTGTAACTTTTTGATCACGCCTTTGCACCTCAGTACTACCATCCTCACTTACCACTCACTTATATTGTATTCATTAGATATCTCTTATATGTAATCACCCTAATAATTAATCATACAGTTTTTAATCAGTTTAAATGCTACCTGAAATACATCCAAAAAGAAATTGTACTTACAATATGTAAGTTTTGATGATTTGTGCCTTCAAGTGTCGGCAGTAACTTGAAAATAATAAGTGCCTCAGTAGGGAAAAGCCATACAGTCAGTGATGTGGCTCAGTAAACTCAGTTTGACAGCAAAATGTATGTAAAGTTTGGTACCATTAACCAACATTAGCCACCAAAGGCCACTGGTTATACCAAATAAAGTGAGGCTGTAGCAGCAAAACCCCTGAGCTCTGCTCTGAACTAAGCAAGGACCTGTTGTATTTCTGATGAACTCAATTTTTCACGTCAGAAGAATGTTTTAAAAGTGGCTTAACCTCATGTCATTAGAAATATCCATCCATTAGCTGTATATACAGTGTTGCTCGGATGTCAGGGGGCAAGAACCATGTCAGACATCAGATATATCACAGAGGGTAATCAATGCAACTAACTCTGTTACAATTACAAACAAAATAAGTTTTAACTGTGTAACATGGATAAAACCACAAATTAATGCACATTAATACTTCGGTGAAAATATGTTTGTTCCAATTGTTTTGGATACTGTGTTGATTACTACCTTAATAATGCTTTATTGCGTCATTTGTCACTAACATGTATGAATAATAAAACATTAACAGACATCATGACTTCTGCTGTTGTTCTTTTACTTGTTTTTACAGAGTGGTTCAAGTGTACTGGACTATAGAACTGCCACACGTGTATTTCACAACAACTCTATATTGTCACTGAACCCTTCATGCGAACTGAGCAACAGTACACAACAAAAATGAGTACATCTCTGTGAAATATCACTTCAGTGTCAAACGATTCAAAATCGAATCACTTCTCTGTCATTGAATTACATCTAAGATGAACAAGTAGGTATTTGCTGTTATGGACATTCAAAAACTAACCGTTTAAATTTACTATGTTAAAAATACAAGCCCCACAGTAGGAACTCAATGCAACAAAAGTAAGTTGTTCTGTTATTTTTCCCTTTTTCTTTTTAGATAACAAACTCAATCCTCCTTGACATGGATGATACCATTGTTGCCAAAGTTTCTGGAGATTCAGCTGCTGTTTCCTAGAGCGGTTGTGTGCTTCAGATTGCTATCATGCTGCAATATTCGTCTTCTGTGTCACTATGGTAGTCCCAGCTAGGTACATGCCAAACATGCTGGACATGCTGGCTGAAAATCTCTCATGGTCTCCTATGACAAAATAATATACTCCCAATATCAATTTGGCTTCTTTTCATGTTCTAGTCTAATCTTGCAGTTTAGTCCCAAAAAGTAAACAAAAGTGTTTTCCTTTAACACTGTCCATAGAGGTTGACATTTTATGCTTTCCCCTCACACTGTCTGAGCTGGAAGAATGATTACCACTGATAACTCCTGTGCCAAGTTTGAAGTATTTGCCTGACTGTTTCTAAGACCTAGATTGTGCACCTTGTCTGTGGCATCGTCATTTTAGGAGGGCCAGTGTAACTCTGATTGGTGCTGCTATGGCTCATTCTATACTTCCTGATTACTGCTACAACTGTGTGCACTGGGTATTCGTTGGTCACAGGTCTTTCTTGTATCCTTCTCCATTTTTGTGAAGTGTCACAATCAGAATCTTACATTTCTCTGGCAATTCTTTGTCTTTAATGCAGACACACACTAAATGCTGTCAGCTTTGAAATGATGCATTCAAATGACACACAACTCACTGCTTTTGTATACTGTACATTTTGATGTAGCCAGCTGCTTTCAGAAGTCCCATATAAGCCAAAGAAAGGTCGCATGAGAGATCAAGGTGTGACAAGTGGGTTTTCTCCAAATGTACGCTGAGGCCCAATAATGGTTTCATCAGTTTTTTAAAAAGGGGACAAAGGAGTTTTCCATCCAAGCAGTTCACTGAATCTACTATTCAGGGGAAGGATACAAAGGATTACAGGAATAATTTGTTATAAGCACCAGATATCTGTATTATTTGTAGTTGGTTAATAAACTAATAAGAGCACCCATAGTCCATTTAGTCCATACATAGAAGAAAAATTACTAAATGTGTGTCACTAGTTGCCAGAGTCATGCCTTAAAACTGCCGTTTTTAATTCTGCTTTCTGTAAAACCAGAACCAGCACTAACAAGAGAAAGAAATAAAAGGAAGTCTTCACTAATTTACCATAAACGAATAACAAAACAGTTTTGCATGTGTAGGCTCCAAAAAAAGAAATCAGTACAGTACAAAACATCTTTTTATTTGTCACACAATTGTTAAAAAAGTTTTTCATAAATACATTAAAAACATGTACTTTCGCAAACATGATTAAAAACACCAAATTCATGGCAAAATATTAAAAAAGAAATCACGTTTTTACACACTCCTGTTCCCACATAGTCCTCTTGACAGTGTGATGTGGTCCATAAAGACGGAAATTCATATTAACAGGTTCCACTTGTTCATATCTGCAGTTCATCTGCCCAGTGGCTCTGTGGGAGATCAGAGGACAAATTAGTAAAAGAAAACTACATTCAGCTGTAACACATGAGAGGTCTTTTGTTGTCACAGCAAATGTTAAGGTCAAAATAATTTATACCCATGCCAAATTTTGATTTATAGTAATTTTTTTTTATCCAGCTAGTAGTTTCCTTATGACTGGAAATTACATATAAAAGAGACAAAAAATAAACGATACTGTGTTAGAGATGTGTAATTCTGTGGGTTGTAACTCTGCCCTGTTCTAATACTAACACTATATAAACTAAGAACACTTGATGCTGTAGTTCTGTGGCCAGTTACTTGTGCTAGCTATGGCTAAAACTGAATAGCTTAGTGAGCTTGCAATTAAGGGTTCATCGCTGACTGAAGGTTGTACATTGTGGCTGTTTACAAGATGGGGAAAGGCTATGAAGACATATTCATGTGTCTTGAAGTGCCAGTGGCCACAGAACAAAGTGTAGTCAAAAAGTATAAGGAGTTCAACACGATAACAAGACTTAAAGGTTGGAGTAGGAAGCTAAAAGTGACCCCTGCATTGGCAAGACTGGTAGCATGGGGAAGAATTCAAGGATCAACAAGGGTCTTCTCATGAATCTGACCAACTCTGGTGACATCTACAGCAGATGCTGCGCAAGACTGGTCTCCATGGATGCTGACCAAGAAAGACTTCTCCAAGACAGGCACACAAAAGCTCACCTCGAGGCTGGATAAGTGAAAAATAGAGTTGTTTGGACACATGACTGTGACTTGTGTTTGGAGAAAGAAAGGAGACGCAACCTCAAGAACATCTTCCTCATAGTCAGTGGGCCAGGCACCCTTGTCAAAGTGGTTGGCATCATGAGAAAAGAAGACTACATTACGATTATGTAGGGAAAACAACAGGAAATCCGCCCGAAAAACTTGGGTAGCATTGGACCCTCCAACAAGACAATGATGGGAAACATTCAGCCCAAGTGCTCAAGAAATGGTTACCACAAGACTATACCAGCAATTTGGAGTAGCCAAGCCAAAGTCAGTGCTTGAAACCCTTTGAGAATCTATGGAGAGAAGTAAAGGCTGGAGTGATTGCAAGGAAGCATTTCAACCTCACAGCTCTGATCGTTGCCAAAGAAGTGTAGTCCAAAATCCCAGTGGAAACATTCAAAAAGCGTGGTAGCAGGTACAGAAAAAAAAGAACTGCTGTGGTGGCAAATAAAGACTTTGCCACTGATTCCAGTGAAAAGATATGAATAATGTTGAACTTAAATTTTTAGCGAAAGTATTAAAAACAGAAAAAGTTCAAATATATCTTTAACATCTGTGACACTGTTTCTTGTGTCAAAATTTGGCATGGTATAAATAATTTTGGGCCAAACTGTATATACACATGATCCACATTCTCCTGCGACTGACTTGGGATGAAGTCGCAGTGATCTCCTCCAGGTCTCTGAAGCAGCCATGTTTATGACGGACGAGGCTCCCCCACAGCACTGAGTGTCGACACGACGGACACTTTCCCTCCACTGGCAGCAGGTGCGACGGCTCCGACTTCAGGAAACATCTGGCGAGGCAGACTAAATGACTGCTCATCCCACAGGACGGGTGGAAACAGCTCAGCTTCTCTGATACCTAGGAAGGAGACAGATATGGACCAGACAACCAGTTAGGATCAGACGCAGTATTTGGAAATGAGAACTATGATGAAATGTCTTACATGTTAGGGCAATGGAAAAAAGCTGAACAAAAATGTTAAAGACAGATGAATAGACAAATAAACCAATTAGTGTTTTATTCATTTACATGCAGCATTGGGGGAATCACACACAACTGATTAGTTAAAGTTTCCTCTGCCCCAAAATGTATCTCTTGTTCAGTCGCAGCTGACCTGTTAATAAGAAGCTCCCGACATTCAAAGGTGGCTCTTTTTCAATCTGACGAGACCACCGTGGCAACTTATGCACAGCTAACATGCTCCAGAGAGGCTGCAGGAAGTGCCACCTTTTCACCAATTCTTCTCTTGCTGAGCATTACAGATTCTCAGCTGAGGAAATACATGATATCCGTACACATGTGAAGCTGCACATTAGTAATATGACTGAACAAAGGCATAAAGTTTCACTGAGCCTAGCTTATTCTAAAGACAAGAGCAGACTTACAGACATTTTAAATATGACTTAACACATTGTATCTTGTGTGTTTAATCTTTACAATAAGACATATTTTAAGGTAGTAATAATGATCTCTGAGGCGACTCTACCTTGACCGCCCCCTTGCAGAGAAAACATCTGGACGTCTCCTCTTCGCCTTCAGGCTCCAGGGGCAGCTTCTTCTTGGCCCTCACACTGCCGAAAGCGATGGGGATGTGCAGAGGAGGTTGCAGGCTGGGCTCAAAGTCCATCCTGTACTCCTGTTTGAGCCAGCGGGCTGTCAGGGGCAGCCTGTCCCACGGCGCCACCCGCAGCATGTTGGAGACGACGCGCCAGTGGAACTGCAAGCTCGACTCTTTCTTGGAACGTCGAGATACATGGGAGAGCCGCCTGGAGGAGTGGGGGTGCTGCCACGCCCACTCAAACTGAAACAGAAATTTCAGAATTTCAATCATTTGAAATAATAATAAAAGCAAAGGGTGCCACTTGGAATGGCCATGTTGCTATTTGTATGATCTGCAAAGTCAGACACAACACAGCAGGCCGCGATAGTATCTCCTGATTGAGATCCCTAATGAAGCTCATGCAAAGTGTTCACTCCAGTTTAATATTATTTATGTAGAAATCTTCTTTAGAAGTTGCTGAGTTCACGTTTTTCGCACCCTATTCACACACTGTTTTGTTTGACTAATTTCCCTGAATTTCTATAACAGAGGTGAAGAGTGCAAAGTAAGTTTGACCCACAGAGGCAGACTCGACACATTATTTGGGAAATACAGCAGGCTATAATAAACTGGAATTATCCTTTAAGAATCAACCACCCATCCATGTAAGATAGACAACGATTAGTGTAATCAGATATGTCACATGATGGATTCATCCTCAGCTTAGAATAGAAATTAATTCCAATCTAATGTAACTGCATGATTAAGGTTTGCACAGTGTGGAATTCTGGCATAAACATTAAATGTGTGCATGCAAAATAATTATGTGGCAGGAAGTGCAATGTGAAGTGTGGCAAATTAATTAAAATATGTCATGATCAAACATTATGGTCAGATTTGTTTGGCGCCTTTACACCATAAATTATAATGACTCTTGAAGCATTTGATTAATTTCCATCACAGATAAAATACTGTTCCCCAGTCACTTCAAAAAGCAGATACTTACCCTCAGGGCAGCAATGTCAGAAGGAAAGCCATGTATTATAAGGACCATCTCCCTGAGCAAAAGAGAGGAACATATGGAAACTTATTTTGTGATTCCAAAGAGCGTTTATCGTGTGGTACAGAACAGCAAGTCAGGATGTCATACCATGGTCCTCTTCCACTGGTCCTCTTGGCTCCCCCTCTATGCCGCCCAGCGTTGTGTTGTCCGATCCGCCGCTCTGGGTTCACGGTGAAGCCAATGTAGATACGGCCTTTGAATTTAGGATTAATACAGTACAGCATGTACACGCCATAGAAGCTTTCTACCTCTACCACCATCGTTAAGGAAAATAGGCAGAGTATTTTTCGGGTCCTTGCTAAACTAGTTTTTTACCTTAGACAGATCATTCATTGACTATTGAGCGTAAACTGGACACATAACGTTGGCTGACGAGTTGAATACTGGTTTGTATCGCTATATACAGAAAGGTGAAATATAAAATCAAACAAGGAGAGTAATGCCATTTTTATGGCAATATGACATTTGCTCTATTCACCCAACTGACTTCGCCCATAGTTAGCAACTGCTAACAAATCAACTGCTTTCACGGATGTCAACAGTGTCTGACTTAGTAGCCCATGAAGCTGCCTGATGAAATACGTTTGTTTTTTAAAGTATATGTCACGTTGTGTTGCCAATACGAGGCTAAAACCATGTGTTACAACAAATGAATACCGCCACAACAGTAACGGAGTAAATATAAAACGTATATTAATACACTGCAGTAATTACTGTTAACATTTAGTTCGTCTTTCAATAAGGACACCTAATATTATGATTCGCTACTTTAAAAATATGTCCCGCCCCCAGGGTGTACATGCCGCAACTAATTGGCCATAGTTGTCGTTGCCGCAATTCAATTGGATATTTTTTCGGTCAGTTAGCGACACCCAACCCGGCACTCATGCCAGTAGTATGCACGGTGACAGAAATTAAGCTAGAACCTCGTTTACGCATAGATTCGGTAATCATAACTTTATAAGTGACAGCTAATTCGCAGGCATCTTTAATGAGCAAATACTGAAAATGTACACTTGAATATACTGTAGCACTTCCAGTGTCAGCCTGTTTTATGTCTGTGACTAAAGTCCTTTGGTTACAGATCTTTAAATTAGCCGGTTACCGACTGTTTTAACTGATTTATTAACGCTACTGTTTGTATTTTTTTGTATCGTACAGATATGGCTGTAACAGCAGATCACATCCGGGATAAGCTTACTAAGGAACTTGAAGCAGTGCACGTGGTAGGTTTCTGACAATTTTTTGTAGGACCTTTTTTATCCTAGCTTAATGTATCAACTGGGTGTAGCGATAAGCAGAACCATACGAAATTACATTTAAGTATTTTCCAATTATTAACAGTGCGTTCCTTATATATAGAAGTACTCACAAAGTACAATGTCACTTCAGGATGTGTAAATATTTTGTAATTGGAGCAATTCGGCTCACAGGTCACACGCACAGCTCACGTAGTGCGTCAGTGAATGGTACAAGAATGGTATAATTAGCTCCCTTACTAATTGGAGATGACTTACCAACACTGCACCACTAAATGTGATGATTTTTGAATGGAGTTTGGTTCAGCTGTGGAACATAGTTCATGTCGCTATGCAGGCCTTCAGGTAACCACAGAGGGTTGAACATTAACATTCCCTGGTCTTGTTGCTAAAGGAGATTCTTTCACTCAATCTAATTAAGCAGTTTAATTGTGAATATAAATCAGCTCTGTATCAGCAGCATGATCAGGAAAGTACCTTAGTAATGGCCAGCTGTTTGTCCCTGGATGATACCAACATTGAACTTTTGTTCTTCAGGATGTGGAGGATACGTCACCGAACAGATGTGCTGCCAGCTTTAAAGTCCTGGTGGTGTCGTCCCAATTTGAGGGTAAACCACTGCTGCAGAGACACAGGTATTACACATTGGAGTAAGAATGGAATGCACATTTGTAGTGTGGTCTGTGTTTAAATCCTTCGTTCAAACAATATAACAAGTAGGACCAGGTAACATCGAACACTAAATAATCCCAGAGTTTAAACAGAGTGCCTGCTAACTGTTATGTTTTTTTGGTTCTGTGGACAATTTCGATAAATTCTTTTACACTTCATACAATCAAATCAGAATGTGATTTTATAAAATACGTGTTTTTTTTGTAACCTGTTCCCTATAAATATTGCAGCCTGTCCAAATCTGCCCCGTTGCAGTTGTTGTTGTAAGAAACAGAAACCTTTTTGACTCAAGTTAAGCAACAATCACTTTGTGACCACAGCAAAAACTCCAACTTACAGAAAGAAACTGCAACAACACCAGTGCAGTTTTGCATAAATCACCACAGTTTTTTTTTATTCACTGTTGTTAATTTTTCATCTTTGTAGTTATTCCTGAAGTTTAAGACCTTCTTCCTCTCTGCTCTGCTGTTATTTGACACTTGAACTTTCAGTTTTACTGCAAACCTTTATGTTGTATGTTGTCAGGATGGTGAATACGTGTCTGGCCGAGGAGCTGAAAGAGATCCACGCTTTTGAACAGAAGACCCTCACACCAGAACAGTGGGAGAAACAGAAGTCACAGTGACACACGCACATTGTATCACATTCCAATTAGTTTGTAAATCCTCCCATAAAACAGGCCTTAATACTTCTGTGACATCAAGAAAGCAGATGAGTGCTCTACTTAATTTGTGATATTGATATGAATCCACTGCAGTGCTTTGCTGGCAATAAAACCATTGATGCTGCCTCTTGTCTTTGCTGATTGAATCATTATTGTTGGACTTCCTGCTCTGATGTTTAAGAATTTCAGTAATAACAGGATAGAAAAATCAACTTCAGCTTTTATTGTCGTTTCCACACATGATGTAATGATCAAACATCTAGCCACACCTACTTATTTCAGAGTTTTCCTTTATGTTTTGCTATTTTCCAGAGTGGAGGACAAAACTATGAAACACTCAAATAACATGTGGCATTGTGTGGTGAGCAAAAGATTGTAAACACATCAAAACTTCTGCTAGACTTGGATTTTTCAAAGTTTGATTTGATACCATCTTTGCGCACTCTTTGTTCTTTACTTCATTATGATGCCACTGGAACTTCTGCCAACAAAAAAACTAGAAAGAAACAAAACAACTTTACTTTGCATGACATTCTGAAATCTTTAACACACATTCAAGGCCCCCATAGAATGAAACCTCATGATGTTGCCGATCTGAACCAAGCAGTTGAGCAATTTGTTGTAAATGAATAGACTATTTCCTAAACCAAGAATGAACTTTTAGTCTCAGTTTAAGCCAACATGGACAACAAGCCCTTTACGTGTTCAAAAACATCTGTAATGATAAGCAAAGTTATCAGGACTTTCATGTTGCCAAACGTAGAAGGTCTTTCGGGGTCCACTGGACCCTAAGAAAGAATATGTGTAAAATATTTGTTGGTATTCATTATAGACTTTTATACTATTAAATACATTTTCTGATAAGTTGATGTGTTTTGTTTCCAAATGCATGACAAGTGTCCCTCTTTTTAATATTAAAAAAACATACCTGTCACTTAAACCAAAAGTCCTGAATAGGGTTAATAGGTGAATTTGGTAAACGTCATATATGAGCACTATGAGTAAAAATACATGAACAGGTCTGAAATCAAGTGAACAACATGTAAATAATGGCCATTGAATATAGATGTGAAGAATTAGGTTACAAAGTAAGTCACCGCTGTCGGGTGCATGTCGTTTATTCCCTCAGTGCCCATGTGTGGATACTGTGGGGAGTTGGTGAGGTGTTACTAAGACCAGGAGGACCCCCTGCCCGTGTGGTTTTCAGTGCTTTGATCAGGCAGCCTGTGGCTCTTTTTAGGTCGCTTCTGATGTTACAAATGCACATGAGACACCTGAGCCAACGTAGGTCCTGCCTCCATTTGTTAAGAATAAATAACAGCAAGTAGTCACCACTGAGGATGCACTGAACCTGGATGGAGTTTTACAAGCTGATATTGAGTTTATATTTAAGTAAATGTGAAACCGTTTAGGTAAAAAAAAAAAAAAGGATTCATGATTTTATTAGAGACAGTGCGCAGAAGGTTTAAAAAGCACATCTAAAGACCTTCATGATAGAAAATCTAATTTCTATGCAATACGATCAAGTGTTGACAAACTGTAGAACCATTTAATAAATTATTAAAGTTGTTTTCCTGGAAGTCAGTGCTTTTATTTTGTCATCTCTTTTCATATTTTGATAGTTTTATAATTACTAAAGTTACATAAAAATAAATCAGTTGATATAATAACATCTTTGTGTACCATAATTCACTTCTCAATCTCTTTCTGAATGTCTTGTGGTTTCATAATTTTATGGTCCAGTCATATATTTGGCACAATGTGTCCATAAGTATGTATTTCCTGAATACTGACAGCTTTGGGTTAAGGCAAAGATGAGGTAACTTAACCTGCTTCTTGCTTCTCTTTTAGTTAAGTGTAACTCTCGAATAAAATCAAGTCTTTGCTAATCATTTAAAGAGGTTTTTATCTATTGTTTGCAAATTCACATGGTGAAAATAATCCAAATGGTGGTATCTGAAAACATGTACAGTGAAAAAGTACACTATCACACATTGTATGTAATCATAAAGATGATCATTGTTTTTTGTTTTGAAATCATACACCATCTTCTATATTACTGTACATAATCATGAGCAAAGTGAAGCAATACTAATTTCTTGAGTTTACATTTTCAGTCAGGCTTTACAAGGCATGGCTGTATGTGCATGTGTGAGTCACTAATTCCTTATGTTTTCATTGTATCTCAATTTCACAGAGTATTAGGTGTTCAGCTGGGCGTGATACTGTTTGCTGTGTATTGAGCATACTTACCTGCTGAAATCCATTTGGCTTGTATTTGTGACTAAACCATTAATAATTGCGCACTCTCAAAGCAAAATGGACAATAAAACCTTGTACCTTTAAGTCAGATTTTCTCCTCTGATTGTTAAGCTCTCATCTCAATGTTTAACTCCTTATACTGAATTTATGCATGATCTGAAGCCTATGACTAAAATGGTCTAAAAAATAAAATAAGTGATCGTTTGTTTTTGTGAGTAATGCCCAACCCTCCTTTAGTAACACAGCTCCCACTGGGAATACACTGTTGTGCAGTGACAGAGTCCAAGCAATTCTTCCCAGTGTGAAACTAACAACATAAGATGAATCATCTGGTGCACTGAGGTACTGAAGGATCATACGTCCAGCCTGGCAGAATCCTGTCAGGAGGTGTTTTCGCAGAGAGAGCAGTTGGTGGTGGTTGGACTAATGGAACCTAATTGATGTATTCACTCTGGCTCAGCCAACTCTCTCCGCTTTTCACTTCATTGCATATGTGAAGTAGGCTGTGTGAGAGCTGCTGGTATAGTCAGCTCCTGCAGAGAAATCAAGCGGTCTAATTTAACATCTGTGGTAAGGCGCAAGGCTATATTGCTTTGATGTGTTCTATTTTCTAATCCAGCAGGGGATTCAATTGAGTGCTTGTGGATTTAAGAATGACTCCTTTCAGTCCAACCAGTTTTGCTTCATGTAAATAGTCCACACAAGTGTTGAGTAAGTGTTGACTGAGGTTATGCTAACATAAAATCCACGTCTAGATATTTGTAGAAAACCTGATATGACTATTGACGGATGTCCAATTGATTAAGTATTGCTTAAAATCTGGGAACTGTATTGAGTTTGAAGCAGTTCAGTGTTGTATCACTTCATCATTTCATCATCCACCCAACGAGAGACCAGGATGACTCCCCTGAGAGTTTCTTCAGGAAGACCAAGAATGTATCTGTCTACACTACGCCTGCACCAGCAAAAGAACTGGTGCTTCATTCACACTTCAGGATTTATTATTAGAAGAGTTCTAATTAAAGTAGTCGCTACTGGACATTTGGAGGTGTAATTTGATTAGTACATGCTTCCCACTGATGGTGCCCAAACAGTAAGATTGACTGATCAAGCCAATATAAGCATCTGACTCAAGATGAAAGAAAATGATGGGAACTGAATCTGTAATTGTTGAACTGATGTTCAGAGGTGTCAAGATAGAATTTACACCTAGAAAGCGGTGTCAGACTTGCGAAAAACGTGTTGGTATTTGGTTTGTTAGAGATGATGTCTGCCGTGTAGTTCAACTATCACGTGTTCTCAGTTTGTGAAGAAACGTATTTCTTTAGATGGGAGCGTAAATACCTATAGGGTGATGTGGTGTGTATGTTTTTTAATTTAACTTTTTTTTTTTCTTTTTCTTGAGAATAGAAAAATGCATCCAATAAAGGACTCGTTAAAGGTCAAAGGACAGACTGTAAGAGGGGGTCCTAATTTCTCCAAAAATCTTGTTTGCTTAAATGTGCTCAGCAGAGATGAATCACTGGTGCTGCAGCCCAATCTGGAACCAGCTGCTATCTTGTGTAAAAAATGTAAAGTCACAGTCAGCCTTTCAGAAACATCTAAGGGAACCCTGTGTTTGGTTGTGTGAGTATGCAAGGGTGTGGGGTGTCCAGTGTGTCTTGCCGCCTCTGGAAACTCCTGAAAAATATTTAAAATAACTGCACTGTTTGATTTAAAATGAAGACAGATTCAGTTTCTGCACAGCACGTTTCTCACCTCAGATGTTTTCAGAAACGCAGTTAGATGAGCTGGTCTTGTAATATTAGTGAAAGTTTGCTATATTGGGCCAGTTTGAAGCAGGAGCAGATGGCCTACGAGTGAAGCGTTTGTCTTGTCACCTGCAGCCAGCATTTGTGTGGTTGTAAAAGGGAGTGGGCTGCATTGGTTTCCTCTTTGAGATCGCTTGTCAGTCATCAATAATGGTACTGCATAGTCATATATCTATCAAGCATCAAATTCCGGGAAGTGGTACAACTTCTTGCATCCCAAAACACCCCTGTGGAAATATACCATAAGACCAGCGGTATACCTTCTGAGTCCAACAGCACATAAGGGTTTGCTAAGCTCAACGTGGCAAAAATTTCTTGTGTGTGAGACCATATGGCCCCTTCTGCACATATTCCATGCAGTCAGAATTGTGCAGGTACTACACTACAAGGACACTAGTGCACTTGCACCAACTGCGTAGATACGACCTACTGGGTGTCTATCCGACGGAGTCTTCCAAATTGACTTGAAAAGTAGTGTGATTGCAACAGCTAGGCTTCCAGTTATATTAAACACACATGTCTTGTGTTAATAAGTAAGTGCAGTTTTGTGAATTTGTTAGTTTTAGTTATAAATTGTCTGGTCTAGTAACTGGAATGATGTAGTCACTCCTCTCTGCACGCCCAACAGTGTTCTTCAATAAGCCTGACAAAGTTTGTTGCTTGCTGCAAAGTTTCCATGAAAAAGGGCAATGGAGTCTATCTTGTATCATATTTAACATCTGAGTGGGAGAGACAGCTGAGAGAATACGCATAAGTGCAGATTAATGACAACAACTGTGCTGCATCATCAGCGGAGTCAACATTAAAATGAAGGATCACTCAAAAAGTTCGAGGCAACAGCCCTCAGGGACACATGAACGAAACTAAACTTAAACCACAAAGTTTCAGTAGCAATATCGTCTGATGTGAGGCCGCAGGGG